AAAAAAAAAAAAAAAAAAAAAAAAAAAAAACAACACACACACACAACAAAACAAAAGCAAAACTCATCTTCACTCCAAAGTTGTGGCTTTTTAAAAAGTACGTATGATAATTCTATTATTAGGTTGATATCAAAGGCTTGTGAAAGAAGACTTTCACAATTGTCCTTTCATCATTTTTTAAGGTTATCATATCAACCTGGTAAAAATTATTGAGATGTGAAAGCATATTAGTCTTGATATTTCTATGTACCTAATAGTTCCTAACTTAATAAAGTTCCAATCTATGAAATTTTCACTTTATGATGGTGCAAAAGTGATATGCATTCAGTAGAAACTTTATTTCAAATTTTGAATTCTGATCTTTTCCTGGGCTGGAAATGTGCAGTATGATACTCTCTCACCAGGATGGGTGTTGGCAAGTCCCAGTTAGCCAAGTGTTGAAATGGTAAACAACTGATACTCCACTGTGTTGCTAAGCTATGATGTTCAGTAGACTAAATGGATTAAGTTTAACTTATGATATTCGACTTACAATGGGTTTGGTTATGAGGTGTCTCCCCAAAGCTACTGTGTTAATGCAGGAATATTCAAAGGTAAAATGATTGGATTGTAACTTAGATTGAATCCCAGGAGGTGGGCATGGCTGGAGGAGGTGGGTTCCTGGTTGTTCTTTCTCGTGGCCCCCTTTGCTTTCTGACCCACCAGAAACTGAGCAGATTTTCTCCAAGAGGAGGCCATGATGCATTGCCTCAACTTTGATGCAAATCAGTGGATTCTGCTCACCTTAGACGAACCTTTGGAACAGTGAGCTGCAAATAAACTTTTCCTCTCCTAAGTTTTTCTTGTTGGTCACACTGACACAGAACTGACTGAAACAGGTTTATGGGGATGCAATCCCATTGTCATTCAAGGAGCATCTGTATTAGCTGTGTGCAATTGGGGAGTTCTTAATGCTTATGAATCCCAGGTTCCTCAAAAGGTAAATACTTGAAAGTATCACAGGAGCCTACATGATTGATGGAAGAAAAACTATAATTTCTAGTCATCTCCAAAAACAAGTAGTAGTCAGTCAAAAACAGTGAGAATGTATGCCAAAATGTGCTTACTATTAATTTTTAAAGTATGAATTATGTACCTTATAAAAGTATATAATTATGCAACACAGAGTTGAAAAAGAATGACAACAAAAAATGTAAGTAGGAGCTCTAATATATCTCCACAAATCCCAGTGGATCACTTGGTGTACTGGCCCCTGACCCCTCATTGGACCTTGGAAGTGACAAAGAAAACTGCATTTTCAGGGAAGGGTGAAGTCACCCTAAACTGGAGGGCTTTGGCATACGTTAATTGTGAAGACAGAACTTATACAAGGCCTTGGAATGTAAGTAACATTTTCACAGCAGAAGGAAAGTCAGAGGAAATAAGAAGAGGTACGATATTCAACAGGAGAGGAAAGGATGATCTGGAGTCAGGGGATGTGAATTCAAGTCCTGGTTGTTTCTCTTAGTAGCTAGAAGATTTTAGATGTCAATCTTGGAGCCTTAATTTCCTCAGTTGTAGAATGGGGATAATAATATCTATCCTGCAGGGTTTTTTTTTGGTGGGGGGTAAAACAATATGACAACTGTGAAAAGCACTTTAAAGTTATAAAACCAAATGTAATTGTTATTTAATATTCTTATTTCCTTGATTCCATGGACTGTAGCTACGTTGTATAGTACTTTCTTTTTTCATCTGGAAATGGGTGGAATCATTGACAAATTGTGGAAGTGATTAACTATTTAAATGTTCCAAAAATAAAATAAAGTACAATAAATAAATTAAAGCCTTATGTTTGAAATCCTCAAGCTTGTGGCCAACTTTACTTCTTAGCCATTGGGTCCAGGCTTAAGTTCCTGAACATGAGTCTCCTAAGCCAGTTCTACCTCTCCTGTCTCCCAATTCCTTTCCAGACCATTCCACCAGGTTACTGATCCCTCTGTGTTCTACCAATAGGGACCCGGCTGGTAACATTCCCTTGTCACAGTATTTGCCAGGTTCAGGTACATGTATTAACTTCATATAACCTTTTAATTCTTAACTCCTTTTGTTAAATATCCAGATAAGAGAAGCCTTAAAGGGTCGAGTGAACTCTGTGAAATGGATCACCAGAATATCAGAGGTAAAGCTCTCCTGTGCATTTTTTTGCATTGCTAAACCAGCAAGATAATAGTGCTGAACTAGCACCTCAACACTCTGTAATTTGTTTTTTCCCCAAGTGAGTGCCTGTTTGAGCTGTTCATATTCTTTCTGAGTACAAGATTTACAGAGAAATAAAATCTTGAAATCCAGAGAAATAAAAGTAGGCTTAGGGCTGGGGATGTGGCTCAAGCGGTAGCGCGCTCGCCTGGCGTGCACGCGGCCCGGGTTCGATCCTCAGCACCACATACAAACAAAGATGTGTCCGCCGAAAACTGAAAAATAAATATTAAAATAAAAAAAAGTAGGCTTAAATGCACTTAAAAGTGAGTAACAAGGTGGCAGGTTTGGAGATGTAAGAGAGCACAGGATGAAAGAGAGAGATGAGGGGAGCTGAGAAGTCTGATCCCACCAGCCTGATGGTTCTCTGCTGATCAGTTGCATGACATCCACAGTGTGAAAATTTCAGGGAGTCATATTCTGATCCCACACAAAGAACTTCTTGAGAGCTTGGTTTTCAAGATGGGCCAGTTGCCATGATAACTGGAGTTAAGTAGGCTGGGGCTCAGCTCAAGGATGTTGTAGAGAAGCTTCAGTCATTATTATCGAATAGGATAGACCATAACATGCCCTTTAACATATATTCTATTCTTATAACTTAGAAACCATTTATTATTAAGCAAACTTGTTCTGAGTGAGAGAAAATCTGGAACTTTCTAGATGGCAGCAAAAAGGGATTTGAGGTTAACCTAAGACATAGACCAGCAACAAGAGAGGAGGTGATCTAGAGTTTTCCAGGCCACATCTGAAAGGACCAACACCGCCTGTCAAGAGCTGGTGCTTCAGGAGATAGGCACCTGGTGGGTGACAGGTCATTCTGGGACTGTGTACCTGTGGCCCTGAGTAGCACTATTATCACTTTTCCCTATGTCCCTTGCCTTCCCATTCTCTTTTCTTTGACTTCTTTTATCTCCTTTTTATCTTCTCTCCTTTTTCTTCCTTTTCTTTGCTTATTGCATCTACCCTTACTTTTACCTAAGCTTTGATCTTGTTCTTAGTCCTTGGTTTCTATACCTGGGAGATGACTGACTTCTCTATATTCCTCCCAGCTAAAGACAGAAAAAAAGGCAAATTTACTGAGTATTGACACTAATAATTATTTAAAGCAGTAGCTTTCAACCTCAGCCACACATGAGAATCAACTGGGAAGATTAAAAAAAAATGGGGTTACTGGGTCATACTCCTGGATGGGTCTGCATTATGCCTTGGGTTTGGGGAATTTTGACAGTCAAGGCTGAGATGCATTCATCAAAAGCCTTCTGAAAGGATCTTTGCTTCATAAATACTGCTTCCTACCAGTGCACCTGATTTAAGCATACCCCTCTGTCATCTGTCCACGGTCACAGCGCTCTCGGGGCAGTGTCTTGATCTCTTCCAGGTTAGCACTACTCTTTTTTTAAATGTGCTTTCAGTATTGGTTCCTTCAGGCCACCAAAGGGAAAGTTTACCTTTCTGTGACAAAGAAAAAGAGTCATCTTGTCCATTTCTCTTTGGTTTTTAAATGAATAAGTCCAAACGATGCTCAGTACTTTATTGTCAATTGTCTATAGGCTGTCAGTGGTTTTCAATGTCGGCTGTACATTAGAAACATCAAGGGAACTTTAAAAAAAAATCCCATAGTCCAGGCCTCACTGAAGAAAAATTACATCAGAAACTCTTGGGTTTAGGGCCTAAGCATGTCTTTAAACTCTGTAGTAATTCTAATGCACGGCTGGGGTTAGGACTCACGGGTCTAAGTACTAGGTACCTTTCGGTTCACTTCTTGAAATCCTTCCTGCATTCTGCTCACTAGCTTATTAGCTTTATCAACCTGTTCAGAGGATGGAAGTAGGCATGGTCTATCATCTGTTCTCCTCTCCAGCTTTGTCAGCCCCTGATTCGTAGGTAGCAATCTTCTACATCCAGGCTTAACTCACCCTGGGTAGTACTTGCCTGGACAGGGTCAGTCCCAATACCCTACACCCAGGATAATAAATGCTTGTCTGTGGTTATATTACATCTAAGATCATGAATTAGCCTATGGTAATGTGATAATAAATCTACTAGTGTATTAGTGTGTTACTTCTCTTAGGCAACATATACCTAAAACATACCTAAAAGATATATTTTCAATACAGGCACATCCAAAAAGAATTACTTTAATGTTGAGGATCTCAGCAGATCAAATGAGAAGGGGTGCTTGGGGTCCAAGGACCATTCTGCACCATCCTCTCTGAGTTCCTCCCTTCCCGAGACCCCAACTAGGGACTCTTTCAGGAGAGGGATCCAGGCAGGCCTGGCTGGAGAGGAGGAAGACCTTTCGCACCAGCCTGTTCCTGTATTGTTAGTGGTTCTAATATAAAGAGGAGAAAGGGTGAAGTTAAAAGATAAAATAAATCTCTGCTTTAAATCCTCGTGTGCTTTGAATTACTGTGATAATTGCAAACGAACTAATACTTTGTCTTTCATAGGACCTTTCTTCTGAATTCTCTTGTCAACCCACCAAAGGGCCAAGCTAACAAACTGCATGCATTCCTAACTCAGGAGGTGAGTGCAAAGCCAGAGGGTCTCCATACGTGTGGCACTTCTTTCAAAAATGATAATTCGATTGTAATTAGAAATGACTTTTTTCTTAATTGAAAGGATTCATCCATACAATATATTGTCACTTTGGTATAGTTAGAAATTCATTCACATTTCCAATTCTTGAGCTACTGAAATTTTTGCCATCCCTGCAAAACCACCAGGCATGTCTGAGAAGGTTTGTGAATTAGAGCGCTGAGCACAGGTGCCCGCTCTGCTTAACTGCTCCCTCTCTTCCATCTGTCCCCTAGTTTCCCATTCTAGGACATCATAAATTATATGAGCAATATCCCAAAATTTCCCACTGTCACCTCTCTCTTTTTTCTCATCTTAAAAGATCAAGAAATTATGATGGAACATATTTGGGAGAGGCCCTAAGAGTAATGTAAAAGTTGCTTTACATTTGAAGTAGTGTCTGAAAAATGGACAGAAAAATGTATGTAGAGAGAGTTAGAGAAGGGAGCTACAGGGGGGAAACAAGCTCAGAGACATCTAGACAGAGGGACATGGTGGCTCAGAGTTGAAGACAGCATTCTCCATACATGGACATGTGTAGGTACACTGTCCCAATCCTGTGGCCTGATGTCCCTCTAGATCTAGAAAGGGAAAAGCAGAGAGGGAGACAGACACAAGATTCACAGAGACAGGGAGATGTAGCACAGAGAGGCTGGTGGTGCATAGGGACACTCAGATACATGGAATTAGGTAGAGGGAATGACTACACAGATGAGATGCACATAGAGTGACAAACAGAAATGGAGGCAGACGAATTCAGGCCTGCAGAGGGAGCCTCCCGCCCCTTACTCCAGGCTCCAACAGCCTTTTGGCCTTGGGCAATGCCCAGGGCCTTGTGTAGGGAAAAGGAAGGGTCTTTCCTAAGAGAAGTTGCCCTGTCGAGGAAGCGGTCCAGCCAGGGAAAGACAGGGTTTGGAACACAACACTTGTAGGCAATAGAACGAGTCTGTTCTCTGGATTCTGGAATGGCCTAAAGAGAAGAGACTCTCCATCTGCCAAGAGGGCTCTACCCAAAGGTTCAAGAAAGAGTGAGCTTTATAATGCAATTGTTGTGAATAGCCTTTGGGTTTTGCTACATATATGTTAAAGCTGTGATTTTCTGTTCATGACAAGGTTGTTCATTCCAGGAATGGCAGAGCCCAAAGGAGAAATGTGCTTATTCCTGTCTTCTTGCCACCAGAGAGAATGAAGGAAACCTCACGCCGTGGAGCTGTCAGAGGAGGGCACGAAGTGTGCAGAGGATGGAAGTCCTTCTTCTGAGTTGTTCTGTGCTACTGAACACATCTTGCCCATGAACCATATATATACAGATGTGACTTCTTTGGTCATAAGCCAAGTGAAAATCATAGAGTTTGAATCAGAAAAAACAAAACAAAACCCTATTTCAAGTCAAGGAGGCAGAAGCCCGGAGTTGTGAGCACAGCTAATCAAAGGTTGAGCCAGAGGCAGAAGCCCAAGTCTGTGGACTCCCAGTTCTTGACTTTCTCTCCAAGATCAGGTAGCCACTGAAGGGCTTTCTGTTTACACTTTCTGTCACCAACACTGTATATTTGAAGCCTGTGATGGGGAAAGGGAATATCATATTTCAAGGTCAAAGCTGCTCATTTTCTTAACTTTGTATGTAAACAAATTCAACCTTCAAACCAGGTGTTGCTTGATAGAGAACAATGTTATAGGTAGAAGCCTCTTTACAGAGTAAGTGCATTGCCAGCTGCCACAGGAGAAAACCACGGAACAAAGGCAAGGGGCAGTGGATGGTCCCAACTATCTCACCAAGAAGCCAGTGTTATTGATGTTCCAGTAGAAATGGGAATGTGAGGCTTGCTTTGTGCACGAGTAGTGTCTCTTTCTTTCTGTTTTTTTTTTTTCTCCAAGGAATCTTCCTCTAAGTGAGAAGTTTGAGAAGGCAAAGGAATAATAAAGAGATTCATCAGAAGGTAGAAAAAAATGCATCAACCTGGAGAAAGAATTATCTTACAAGAGGCACTGCTTATATTGGGACAACAATAGCATTCTTCTCAAATGGAGTCAGAAAGTGGTTTGAATTTGTCTTTTAGCAATAGACCTGGAGAGACTCCTCAAGAGAAGGAGGTGAGATAGGCATAGTCCTGGTTTTTCTCAGTGCACAGAAATTAGGCATCAAGAAATGCCACTTATCCAGAGACAATATATTGAGGCAAAGATGGAATCTCATAAAGCCAAGTAGTTAGATGACTGTAAATCTGGACAGACTTTAGAAAAGGCTAAGTCTAATTGCCTCATTTTACAGCTGAGGATTCTGAGTACAGGGACAGAAGGAGGGATTAGCCTGTTGTTTGTATCATGCATTAAGCAGTCACAGCTGGTATGAAAACACTACAGTGTACTCACTTCTGGAGATAGGATATTGGGAAAGATACCCCACCATGCTCATCATTAAACCAAGAAAGGCCCATGGATGGTACAAGAAACTACAGAATTATTTTGGGACCCCGTGAAGAAATTGTGCTCACTCTTCTGCAGCCCCAAACTACTCTGTACCATCTTAGAAAATGTCGAGGAACTGCATGGGATAGGTTGGCTCCTGATGACCTTGACAGGGACACATGGAGTATCCTGCTTATACCTCACAAAGGGGATGACTTGGTCAGGTGGACCAAGGAGAAATTGGTGCTAACACTGCCTAAGGCAGACTCATGGGTAGAGTATTTTATTTTTATTTATGGCCATCCTTGGGAAAGTCATTTACATTCCTTAGACTACTTTTCTGTAAATTGAAGATAATAAAACCTACCTCAGAGGATTACTGTAAAGATTAAATGTACAAATGCAGGTATTTAGAATAGTACTTGGCAAATATTAATTGCTCATTAAATGTTAAGTTTTTTAAAGAGTACTTGTGAATATGTGTACACATACAAACACACATAACACAAAAAAATGTACAGCTCTGCTCTTTGCATGAGTTTGGATGTAGATATGCCCACAGGAATTAGTTGACTGACTGTTAAATAAGAGTCAAGCATTCAATTTGGTCTGTTCAGTGTTAGGGGTATCAGTCAACAAAATCTGCTGAGTTTACTACCATAGAATGAGCCTTTTATCCAATGCTACTCTGGTAATGATACATGGTTCCCTGCCTTGGAAAAAAGAGTGTGTGGCACAGGGCTCTAAGCCCTGTCCTTGTCTAAGCTTAGCTTCACTTTCTTTTTTTCCGGAGAAGTATTCCCTGATTGGTCTAACCAGAAATGCTGATCCTCCTTCCTTAATGTGTTATGTGATTTATAACCTGTGCCATTCACTTTACATTGGTATATATTGTGTTATATTGTTTGTTTACTTTGAGTCCTTTATGTGCATGCATTTTCTTTCCCAGATAAGACTGTAAAACATTGTTGCTCACTGTGTTGCGTACTTTCACATGCTTATAGAGCAGAGCAAGGTGCTTTGTATATAGAATGTGTTCACTAAATATGTAAAGTCCTTTGGTTACACAACCTCTTGATACTGGTTTTTTCAAATCCCAAATGACCTAGTACTTAACTAGTGACCTAAATAAATCTGACCCATTTCAACAAACATTGCCTCCTTGACCATCATTACTGTAAAATGTGTAATAGAATTTTCTCTTATTTATTTCTCTATTGTCCATACCTTCCTCTGGTAACTTCTAAAGGCAGGTTTGCATCAGATCTTTGAGGGAAGGAAGGCCTGTAAATAGAAGACCCCAGAATTACTATGTATGAAATTATTTGGTAGTGAAGAACAACTCAAAGTAGCTATGCAGCCTGAGTCATATCAAGTGAAGTTCCCCACAAGTGCAGACTATGTGGACTATGTATTCTAGGTCTGAGTTACCTACAGCCAGGTGGAGGCTCAATAAGAACTACCGTTCCTCATCATCAAATAAATAAATAAATAAATAAATCCCTCTGGTGTCAAGCTAGAGATTAGATGATGATTTTCTGATGTAATTATCTAAAAGTCACCCCCTTTGTGAGATGTGCAGGACATTGCATGTGTCATCTCAAAGGTTCATCGGGAGTTAACCTATTCTGTGCAGTTCCTCAACGCTTCCCAAGACGGCGCAGAGTAAGTTTCTGCCTATAGAAAGTCAGCCAGTTTTCTCCAAGTTCAACATCGGTATAGGCAGAAAAGCAATAAAAACCTTTTAAAATCATCAGCGATAGTAGTGCAACCTTGCATATTATCACTCTCCTACTCACACCAGTGTAGTAGGTGGAACACAGAGTCTCATGTCATCATCTGAGATAAAGATGAGGAATGGCAGGACAAACAGGTGACTCACTTTAATGGATCTGCTTCAGACAAGAGAAACCTGTAATTTCTCTCAGGTGTGCTTGACGGGCCCACTGTGGAGTGAATCACACACTTGCACAAGCCTTGAAGCTGTGGGCAGCTATTCTGTTGTCAGATTGGCTTCTTACAACAGGCGGCTGGTTCTCACCAGGGCCTCCCGGACTTCCCTTCCAAAAGATGAAAAAGATGGGTCATGGCCACTGAAGGAAGACTGTGGGGGGCACCAGTGTGGGCACATGTGATGCCGGGGCACGATGGTGGGAACTCAGTGCCAATCTGCCAGCTGGGTGATTCTCCACCTCCCAGCTGCTAGATCTACTTCCTGGATACCGTGAGTACCTGTCCCAAGCCCACACCTCTTTTCTCCTGAAGAGAGAAATGTTTTTGAATATGTTCCAGCATGGGAGAAATGTGTGATTTATGATGGTATTTTCTGGAATGCTTGATTCTGCAGGATCCTTCCCGAACATTATTTAGAAATTGGCCAGCTCCAAGTTGGAGTGTTTCCTAAGTCTCTTTTATGTTTGTTTTTCTTCAAAGAGTCATCGGTCAGGCTCTAATTGCTCACTTCTAGGAGTGAAAAATGAAAAACATCCTGTCAGGCAATCAGACTCACTGTCCCTGAATTGTCCTCTTGCATGATAAAATTCAATTCCCTTCCTTTAGACTGAATGCAAAGCTGAATGTTTTATAAAAAGCATTCTGTAGTGGTTTCTTCTTTAACCAGGCTGACAAAGCTGTCTTTATAGAAACTTAAAACATTTCTTCCACTTACTGTTAGAACCCTTTGCAGAGTATGTCCCTTCTTTTGAGGGGACAGTGATGTGCTGTTTGAAGTCTCATATTCCTTAGATTATGAGATAAATCCTGAAAGCTCTAAATTGTTGTGTCCCTAGATGCTGATTGTGTGTGTGTGTGTGTGTGTGTGTGTGTGTGTGTGTGTGTGCTTTCTTCATGGGAGAGAGTAATTGCTGGGACTATCAGTTTCTTTGAAATTATGGTAAATACCAGGATAGTTGGTGAGCTGTGTGGATGCCTCCCAACTCTGAGTTTTGTGATCTTGAGACCTATCAGAATTTGGATCCAAACTAATCTCAGAAAAGATACTGAGCTACAAAAAGATTATCTGGAAGCCGTCTAAAATAGCCAAGGAAGAGATGTTCCCAATTCTGATAGATCTTGCTACCTTTCTTTTCCCCAAGGTTCTGTATGAAGTACCCTATCCTAGGCAAGGGAGAACCACTAAGAGTAACTAAAGAGAATCTGTTATTGAGGCCAAGAAATAGTGGGTTTTAAACACATAAACAACTCTTTTATCCATCTGAGGTTATAATCAGAATTCTAATTGCAGTAATGGAGTATATGGGACATACAGTTATGGAATTTGGCTTAGGGCAGCAAAACATACACACACCCTAAAATGTGGGTCACCTAACTCTTAGGTTCCTCGCCCTTCAGTTAACCTTTCTGAATTGGTCACTCATATCAGACAAAGGGATTGGCCAAGGAGTATGAGGTGAGTTACTGTCTAGATAAGCTGGTGGGAATGGATGCCTTCCTCTCACCTCGTGTGGTACACTTCAGCAGAGAGGAGCACTTAGGGACCGTGTGTACTGATTTCCAGATGTTCCCAGACCTCTCACCTTAGGGTGTTGGCATCAAGAGATCTGAGAGATCACACTTTCCACACATTCCCTCATCACTGACTGCATTTACTATTCCTGGTCTGACCCTTTCTTATTTTCTTTGGGAGTCCCAGTGCCAGTCCTTGCCCAGCATGTTCAGACAGGTGGGGCACATCTCAGTCTGTGAGAGTCATCTCCAGCTCCATCAAGCACATACCCAAGTCAGCTCCAGGACCCAGGCTAATCGTAATAGAAGATGGTGTTCAGGTTTTCTGGGTCTGTCCAGGGGAACAGTGTTCTGTGAGTTCTGGTTTGTAGACACAGCATGGAAAAGACCCATGCATGGTCATGTCACCCTCTTATGACACCCATGGCACACATTCATATGCTAGCAGGGCTCTCTTTTTCTTTTTTCCCTTCCTTCACATGGATTTATTTCTTATTTACCTAGTTGGGACCTCCCACTACATTTTTACCTACATGCTTCAGGTAGTACAATGAAGAAATACGTAGTAAATCTAGCATTAGTGAGCATTTCTGCTTAAATCACTAGGTTTCAAAAATTACCTAGAATTGCAAATACCTTGGCCTTCTCTATCTGTGGGTTCCACATCCATGGGTTCAACCAACTTTGAATTAAAACCATTAAGAAAAAGCAAAATGTGTCTATACCAAACACATCTCTACCTTTTTCTTGTCATTATTTCCTAAATAATAGAGTCTAAAAACTATTACAAAGCATTTGCCTTGTATGAGATACATAATCTAGAGACGTTTTAAAGTTTAGGGGTGGATGTGCACAAGTGACATGCAACCATATTTCATTTGGTATGAGGGATTTTCTGTGTGGGTGGATTTTAGTGTCTGTGTGGATCCTGGAACCAATCTCTCCGGGATCCTGAAGACCACTGTATGATCACTTGCCTCTCTAAGATAGAAAAGTTTCCTGTTGATTGTAAAACAAAACTTCAAACGCTGGGTAGGGATCTTTACTCATTCATTTTCTCTCTGAGGGATCATAATTGACTTATACAATGGATGCTTACTGAGTGTTCATTTATGTACCTTACACTCTGCTGGGTGCTGAGAGAAAAGTTAGGTGTTCACCTCCCAACTAGCAAAAGCCTGATTTTTTCCCTTTCTGTACCCTAGATGTGACCTGATTTCTCTCAGTCTCTGGGGCTAAGAGCACTGATGTGCTCTGTTGACCCATTGTGATCAGTGCTTGGGCAGTGGGGTGGTGGGTGTTGACTGCTGTAAATTGGTTGGGAAGGTAGTTCACTCTGGGTCTATTGGACCATGCTACATTTTCTTTTAAGTTTCTGAGCCAACAAATGTTATTTTCTCTCTCTTTAATCACTAGGTTAGAGCAGGGAGCCTGGCTTAATTCAGCAGCCTAGAGTTGCTGTTTATTATTGTGTGAAAAGCAAAGGTGGACTGTAGTGGGTAATTCACACTTGTATAAGGATGCACCGAGGTGATTTGTGGAGGAGGGGAGGAGGAATTTGGGACATGGATTGATTACTTTTACATGTCTTGAGAAAATGCCGTGTAGTTGCTTTTATTGCAAAAATAAGTATCTTGCAGACTCTTTGGGAAGAAAATGTGGAGCTTTTTTGGGAGCAAGATGTGACTAGTTAGAAACTGGAGGGAGTTTGTTTGCAAATGAAAAATTATTATTTACCTTGTTGCCACAGATAACTTCAGGCAAGAGTTCTTTTGTATCTTGTTTTTTTCCTCACTGATTTTTATTTTCCATTCCTGAACCTGTTCTCCTTGTGATTGTCCCAAGCTTTGGTGTAAGTGACTTAAAGAGCTCCCATGAACCCATTGGTACAGGGGCCCAACAAATACATAGCAGGGCTGAGTTTGGGCAGATTAACTTGTTTGCCTCCAAGATGACAAATTTTCATGGAACAGCAGCTTAAAATTCCCCAAAGTATTTTTGATGAGCAAGCAAATTTTAATAAAAACTGGGTGACATGTTTTTTTGTTTTTTTTTTTATTTTATAAGAACTCTCGGAAGCTTTGGTGTGTGTGTGTGTGTGTGTGTGTGTGTGTGTGTGTGTGTTGGGGACAGAAGGAAGTCTGGGGGGAGTGGTATAGCACACATTGTTATCCCAGTTGAACTAACCATGGAACGCCTTTGTCTTTCATCAGAAAAATGTTCTACAGAAACCTAGTTTAGGGTACCATCCCTTCGTTAAATATAGCAAATACCACACTCTATTGTTTGCCTACTAAAAGTAAAGCAGGCAGATTTCCTAAATTCAAAGAAAATTTAAATCCGTGGATACAAACATCTCACTGTTAAATTTTCCTTTAACTTTTAGTGCCTGCTACAAGCGCTTGGTAAACTAGTGGTGGATCATGTGGCAGACATAGATATTCAAAGCTACAGTACAGTTCTGAAAGGTCTAATCCTTACTGTCTTGCTTTCCCTCATCCTGAGTACTAGGATCCTGGATTTAGTAGCTAGTGACTTATCTCTCAAACAAAATGTTTCTCTGTCTCCGTATAGAACTAGGGATGTTATGGAGACTGACAATTTTGTTAACAAACTGAATACACTGGAGAATTAGAAGTCAATAAATGGTATAAAGGGAATTTAAGCATAAAATACATGGAACAACTCTGGATTTTCCATGTAGGATAGAACATGGCATTGACTCCAGCCATTTGTCACCAAAAACTGGTGACTCAGCCAGGTGAGTTAGCCTGGGGGAGATTTACATCTAAAAGCTGCTTCTTTTAGTCCTGTGTTTTGCTCATGTTCCTTTGGATGATTCACAATTCTCTTGTCCTATTTAACTTAGTATTCAAATTTTGCATCATTGTTCTTTTCTTTCCCTCATTCTTTCAAGAGATAACACAAGATACTGGAGAGGAACTTTGCTTGTATTTGCAGAAACTTCTCAATTTGGAATCATGCACAGTTAAAGTTTACTTTAATTAAGTCTTGATCAGTGGTAAATCAAAGAATGTGGGCTTTCTCTACTCTGTTATATAAAATACCAGTCTCTGGTTATGAATTGTGCTGCTAGGACTTCTTTTTATGTTTTAATTCTCAGAGCTCTGTTCTCTCTCTGCTTTGCAGAACATTTGGCTTTTGGCTTTGGCCCCATCTGAGATACCCCATTCAACTTTTTTTTTGGTGAGAAGAGAAACAACCCATTTGGGGCCAACCTGAGAACACCTATAGGATTCATCACAGTGATCAAACTCTGCAAAATAAGGATTCTATGACTCCTCTTGTGTAAGGTTATTGAAATTCTCCCAACATTTGTAGCAACTGAAGAAAACTTACCATATAATTATCATACCTAATGATACATAGGTTACATATACAAACTACAATAACACAGGTGATCAAAACCCTCCAGGCAATTATGCTCAGTTCATGTTTCTTATAGTCATGCTTATGATTTTAATTTTATATCTCATACATATTTTTACTAGTAAAACTTTTCTTATATGAATATATAAAATATATAATTATCTCATAATGTCCCATAAGAGTACAATGACTTATAAAAAATGTCTTGACTCTTGGATCCTACACCCTGAATACTTTAAGAGGCTATGCTTACTGGGAGACCCCAGCACTGGGAGGGGAA